GATGATTCCAGTTGTAAATGTGAACATTGCATGTGTCCATAGGGATAAAAAGTGCTGCCCTATGACAGAGGTACCCTTGGAAGTCTGGGGGAGGTTCACTTTGGAAACAAGTAGGGGTAGGAGATAGGTTATTCCTTCCCATTGTGTTTGGCAGTGACTGCAGGCCCTTCCCTTTGGGAAAACAAGTGGTTGTTGGGGTGCCCCAAGAGGGGGAAAATATCACCATGATGCGAGGAAGTGATACCCAAGGAGAAAGGAAGAGACAAAACAGAGGTAGCTGCTTCTAGACAAGCAGACACAAGCCAAGATGAAAAGGAAGAAAAGGAAAACAAGGTACTGTAGAAGGTTTTACATTGTATTAGATGGGAGAATAAAAGCCAGGACATAAGGAGAGACCCCTGAGGGGGTGTGGAAGGATGTAGGCCCAGTGGATAAAGATAACCTGGACTTGTTAATGGTGGTTGAGTGGCCATCCTCTCTTCTCCACTGGTGCACGAAGTGGAAAAAGCTCAGGTGCATTTTGGAGGGTTAGGAGAACCAGGAACCTTGAGTAACCAGGTGTCCATGGTGTGAGGACTTGAAACAGAATTTTGGAGGCAACCTCCATCCGCTACGTGTGACTACTGCAGGTAGAGAATGGATGGACCCTATCAGGAGGGCCTGGATGATCACCCTGTAGATGGAGGGAGAACCCTAAAAGGAAGCACCTCCAGTAAGGAAGGGAGAGCATGGGGTAAGAAAAATCTTTGTCAGGTAAGGTGAGGGAGAGATGGATGACAGAGTGCAGGGCAACAACACCTGTACCAGCATTTGGATCACCAATGAAATTGCCATGGAGTAAATCTGAGGGATGAACTTATGCCTAATTTATAGATTGGGATGGGCTGAGGAGAACCTACAAGGTAAATTATCTCAGAAAGTAGAAAAGAGACAGGAAGGAAGTGCTCAAGGGGGAAAGAGAGAAACTGGCAAATTTCTGAGAGTCAGAGCTAGGAAAGATCTCTTGAGGGAAGATACCTTCTGTCTCCCTGTCTTTAGTGAGCTAAGGACTATATGCTTGTCAATACTGAGCTGCACAAATTTGCAATGGCTGTGGGGAAGATACTCTAAATAAATGTAATGAGATGTTTGACCAGAAGAAGATCTCTGAGCAGTTTGTGTCTAGCGAAGAGATAGGAGCAGGACTATGCCCTCTGATGTGTGGCAGTTGTTTTGTGGGTGCTATCCCCCTTTCTGTGCAGTTAGATGAGGAATGGGCAGTGCCTTGGTTTTTGTCCCCAACTCATAGGCCAGCTGTCCCAGCAAAAGGACTGGTGAAGATTAATTCTTCCCTGGAGGAAGAGAAATGCAGGAGCCAGATCATAACTCTGACTCTCAATCTGGTTCCTCCCCTGCTCCGGGATGGCTGAGCTACATGCTGATCCTTACTTGGAGTGCATGGTAAGATTACAAGCTACCACTAATGTTGCCTCTTCCTGAATGGGTGGCTTGTTCTCTTTCTCTCTCCCACCCTACTCTCAAATGTCATTAGTAGATGAACATTGTGAGCTGAATCTTGAATAACTTTCTGCAGCTGATCAGCACCATGACTAACTGGGTGGAATGTGTGCTTTTAGCATCACCATCAAGGAACCATGCACAGCAAGGGGCTGTTACTGCATTCTCCAAAATGGTTTGTGATCATGGTCATAGGCAAGATTATGAATGGAAAGATATATATATATACACACACACACACACACATACGTACTTCCTGAGTGCTTCTGTCCTTTGGACTCTAATTAAATCAGCACAGAAGCTTGATTTAATCAAACAAGTCTGAGCTAATATGAATGCTTTTTAGGAAGCAACTGTTAATAATAATAATAATAATAATGAAAGTGAATTTTAACATGCAAAAATGCATCTCATGTAATTTTGAGCTTGAATTGGATGATTCTTCTAATGGAAAAATCCCAAACATAACCCAATCTACTACAAAAAGGCAAAATTAAGACTAAGTAAAGAGATTCTGTGTCATACTATAGTAATTGAATTGCAAACAGCTAAATCTAAAATGTCTAAGCCCAAATCAAGTATATTCTAAGCAGCTTGACCTAAACATGAAAGGAAAAACAAAACAAAACCATAAACCAACAAGGAAAGTTGCTTCCAGTCATAGAAGTGACTTTTGTGTATGTACGTATTTTAACTTGTGTGTGTGTGTGTGTGTCATCTTAATGATATTTTATCCTTAAAGTTATACAGGACTAGAATCTGCCATCCTTACTTCATAAGGATGAAATCAATAGAATTAGTCACTGAAGATGGTTTTATTCCACATGAGTAAGGGCGCCAGAATGCAGCTTCGAGTAATTTATTTGACTTTGAGTTCTGTAGATATTTGTTTATATAACACCATAGGTATCTGTGATGCTATACCAGGGGTAGGCAACCTTTCAGAAGTGGTGTGCCGGGTCTTCATTTATTCACTCTAATTTATGGTTTCGCGTGCCGGTAATACATGTTAACGTTTTTTAGAAGGTCTCTCTCTATAAGTCTATATTATATAACTAAACTATTGTTGTATGTAAAGTAAACAAGGTTTTCAAAATGTTTAAGAAGCTTCATTTAACATTAAATTAAAATGCTGATCTTACGCCGCCAGCCTGCTCAGCCCGCTTCCAGCCTGGGGTTCTGAGCACCTAGGCCTGCAGCAGGCTGAGCGGGGCCTGTGGCCGGGATGCTGGCTGGCAAGGGGCTGGCAGCCGGGACCCCAGACCTGGGGGGGGGGTTCAGGGGTCAGGGCAGAGGGTGCAGGGCAGAAGGCTGGGTGTGTGGGGGGGTTCAGAGGTCAGGGCAGAGGGCAGTGGGGATTTCAGGAGTCAGGGCAGAGGGCTGGGGGTGTGGGGGGGTGCAGGGCAGAAGGCTGGGTGTTGGGGGCAACTCGAGGTCAGGGCAGAGGGCTGGGGGGTGTGTGGAGGTGCAGGGCAGAAGGCTGGGGTGCTCGGCTCATGGGGGTGCTCCCAGCCCCCTCCCATGAGCGGCTCATGGCAGGGGGCTGGGAGGGATATGCCCTGTTCCACCCCCTTCCCCAAGGCCCGTCCCTACCTCTCTCTGCCTGCTCTACGGAGCAGCGAGCACGCTGCCGCTCGGCTCTCCCTCCCCTTCACAAGGGCCATCGCCGGCAGGGAGAGGGAGGGGGAGGAGGAGGGGCTGGAATGCACCATGCTGGGGGAAGAAGCGGGGGTGGGGGGGAAGCTTGGCTGCTGCAAAACCAAGCTTCTGCCTCCTGCCCCACAGGGGAGAGTGGTGGGGGGGGGGTCCC